ACATGGCCTGAGAGGAACAGTGAGGCTTCTCCAGTGGACCATGTCTTGGCACTTGCCCTGGTCCCCCCCCTCTGCCAAAGATCCTCAGATCTGTCCCACTCCTGCCCAGGCCCCCACAGGCACCCTTGATGTGAACGATGTAGAGCTGGCCACATCTACCCAGTAAGCCACACCTACTCTATCCATGCCCACCCAGTAGGCCGCATCCACCCTGGCCACACCCACCCAGCCCCCTGAGGGCAACCGCAATTCTAATGCAGCCCTCAATGAAATTGAGTTAGACACCCCTGCTTTAATCTATTGATCTGCTCGGGAAAATCTCAGATAGTAGTATGCCTACTATCAGCTTCTCCTAATAAAAGTTCCTTTTGGAAGAGTCTGCTTCCATGAGTTCTGCTTTCTTGGGATGAGGTATTGAAGTGGGCCCTGACACAGTATCTACTTTAAGTTTCAGTAAATCCAACATAAACAAATACAGATGTCCATAATGGTAGATTATTTAATTTTTCTTAATTTCTATCAGTGGGGAATTATTCTATACATTATAATACAGCCACAATGATGTCTGTACAGACCATCACCTTGTGCTTTACAGCCCTCTCTAAGCAGTTTACAGAATCAGCATATTGCCCCCAACAGTCTGGGTCCTCATTTTACCGACCTCAGAAGGATAGAAGACTGAGTCAACTTTGAGCCGGTGAGACTCAAACTGCCAAACTGCTGTGAGCCCGGAATCAGCAGAAGTAGCCTGGAGTACTGCATTCTAACCACTGCACCACCATGGCTCTTATAAGTATAAGTGGTAAAATCTCCTTTTTCTTTGGTTCAGCCAGATGACTTGGCAGCTGTCCATGGCCTAGTTGTTAATCTTTTGTCCAGGAAAACTTTTGATCTTTTTTTCCCTCACCATTGTTCTGGCACCCAACTGTACCATCTGTGGGTATGTCAGGTCCCACACGTTCCTATTTCTCTCCTTCCATGAACTGGGCCATCAAATACTTCATGGATTTGTAACTACTCACAAACTCACACGTTTTCCGAAGTAAAAATGTTGCCTAATTGTATTAAGATTATAAGATACTGAACTGAAACTGATAGTCTATCTCAGGGGTCTCCAAACATGATAACTTTAAGACTTGTGGACTTCAGCTCCCAGAATTCTCCTGCCAGTTGATGTCCACAATGACATGCTGGCTCAGGAATTCTGGGAGTTGAAGTCCACAAGTCATAAAAGAGCCAAGGTTACCTACCCCTGCCTGCCCTAGTGTATCTTCAACACTGCTCAAATATGTTACGGTCATACAGGTAGTCCTGGACTTACAACAGCTCATTTAGTGACTATTCGAAGTTACAAAGGCACTGACTTATGTCTATTTTTCACACGTACGACCGTTGAAGCATCCCCATGGTCACATGATCAAAATTTGGATGCTAAGCAACTGACTTATATTTATGACCTTTGCAGTATCCTGGGGTCAAGGGATCACCTTTTGCCACCTTCTGACAAGCAAAGTCAAAGGGGAAGCCAGTTTCACTTAACAACCTTGTTACTAACTTAACAACTGCAGTGATTTACTTAACAACTGTGGCAAGAAAGATCATATAATGAGCTAAAAAAATCACTTAACAATTGTCTCGCTTAGCCACAGAAATTTTGGGCTCAATTGTGGTCATAAGTTGAGGACTACCTAAATTAGATATTTAACCTGGTCACTTCAATTTCCAAGCTCTTTTCTTCCTAGGATTTATAAGGTTTTGGTAATTCTACATTGGCTTACTCCTTGGAGCACTATTTCCAGACAGAATCTAACCCCAATTCTTAGCTCCTTATCAGTATAACGAGTGGAAACTATATGGTTTGGGTGTTTGGATGGATACATGATCAGCCAGTGAGAGGCAAGTTCATCACACACTCTCTCATTTAATTTTGCCTGAGGACAATTCATTATAATTGTTCAGGGGATCATTGCTTAGAAATTATTTCAGAGTCAGGTTGTTCAATTAGATCAGTGGTTCTCAACCTTTCTAATGCCGCGACCCCATAATACAGTTCCCCATGTTGTGGTGACCCCCAACCACTTATACATCACTGGGTGCCAAGGGTGTGGCCAAAGAAAAGGGGGAAAAATGGCGGACAGCCTTGCTTGGCGACCCCCGTGAAATGGTCGTTCGACCCCAAATGGGGTCCCGACCCACAGGTTGAGAACCACTGAATTAGACGCTTACGCTGTTCTAGTTGTAGGTAAACAGATGCTTACATGCAGCTAGTTATATAGCAATGTGAATAAGGAGGCAGTCAGGAATAGATGGCTCTCTGATGTACCCTTTTCAAAGCAGGCCTCCATTTAATGTAATGCAGCTACTCTAACTTTAAACGTACTGCAAACGACCATACATAAAAACTCATCAAATTTGCAGATGACACCAAACTGACAGGAGTAGCCAACACCCCAGAAGACAAACTCAGGATCCAAAAAGATCTTGACAAACTTAAACAATGGGCCCTATTCAACAAAATGAGTTTCAATGTAGACAAAAGCAAAGTCTTACATTTAGGCAGGAAAAACCAAAGGTACAAATACAGATTGGGCGAGACCTGGCTTAAAAACAGTCACTGTGAGAGGGACCTTGGAGTCTTAGTGGACGATCACTTGACTATGAGCCAGCAGTGTGCAGCAGCAACCAAAAAAAGCTAATACAATCCTGGGTTGTATAAACAGAGGCATAGAACCAAGATCACGCGAGGTATTAGTACCGTTTTATAAAACCCTAGTAAGACCACATCTGGAATACTAGGTTGTTTGAAGTGTGCTGTTTTAAACATAGATATAGAATACAATGTGGTGGCTTAGTAGAAGACAAATGTCTTTACATTCATGCTGGGCAAGAAATGAAATCATGGGTTGATCAAAATTGGAAACTAGCTGTTAGTGCATGTACATACTAGCCTGATTCAGTAAGGCTCAATGTGTTTTATATTATTTATCTGCACTAGATACTATTCTCTTTGGCCAGAACTGGCTGGATTCACATATTGAGCTGGGAATCTGATTATTAAACATCAGTAATTTCACATTAAATCATTCCACTGTTATAATAAGACACTGCTGGAAAAAAACCCACAAAGTACTAGATCACAAAGAAAGTTTCAGGGATAATGAATTTATAAATGCAATTATAAGTCAAGAATCAAATGTTAGATTTTAAAGATCACTAAAACCAATTATTTTATATTAAATTTGCATAAAGCATACTTGGTAGATATTGTGTTTGATCTTGTAAAAAAATATTTCCAATCTCCATGCATCCATCAATTCTGTTTAATACTGCCTTTCAAAAATGACCAGAATTAAATGTAACCTGCATAAAGTTCCAGCTGTGTATTTGGTTGCAGTTTCTTTTTGTTGGGCCTCTGTTTTAATGTAATTCGCTCTTCATTGCTGTATGTCTCCTGGATTTGTATGTTTGCAAGAGGAGCGACTTAACAAATCCTACAAGGAAGGATCACCACATAAAACAACCAATTTGTCACTCTTAGTATTGTTGTATGTAGAAAGTTTGATCAGCCAAGCTTTATGTGGATTTTGTGTTTCTTGAACATAACTTTAATTAATAGCCCACATTTCTATTTGAGCAGCAAGACAACCATGAATCCTATAAATGATAATACCAATAGAAAAAAATATACAAACAGCACACAGTAATTACAACATGATTAAAATTAGAACCAAAACTCAAAGATGATTCTTAAAAGCAGTTCAGATGTTCTTCACGTCTTTTCTGAAGGATGATACCAGTTAATATTACATGGCAACTAGATTTATAGCTTTCTTTAGAAATTAGAGGGGGGGGGGAGACTTTAACATTGAGTGTAATGCAATATTTTTCATAACAGTTCTTCAACATGATGGGAAGATAGATACAGCTCAATACACAAGACTTGTTCCCTTACAACACCTACTGAACTGACTGTGACTGTGATGGGCACCAGGCAAAAGTACCTAGATTATCAATGAAACCCAAGTTATAACTTGGAATTACATTTTATGTGCTGCTATTGCTGTTTTGGTTGAAAGCAGCTAGAGTGCTGGGCCAGGAAGAACCCAGAACCTAAGTGGAGGAGGTATTCAGCCTTTTTGTGGTGTCCCTACAAACATCCCCCACCACCTAGATCTCAAACAACTGCAAGGGCAAATATTAAGATTGCAGATTGCAATACTTTTGGTTGATGAAAAGACCACTACATCTTTAGCTCATTATACATTTTGATTCTGAATCAGGTACATTTTTACTCATGAATATGAAATAGGAACATGAAATATTTTAGTGGTCACCTAACTTCTGATGCTTTTCCAGCTGCATATCTGTCAGAGAGTAAAAAGTGGAGTGTGTTTCTTGGTTAACATTCGTCCTATGTATTGTTTGAATACTGAGACTGTCATAGTTTTGAATTTTTTTAAGACCGAATTCACTGAGTTTATCCTTCTATATTTAATATTAAATTGTTGATCTTCGTGTACGGTGAATATTTTACATACAGTATTTGCCCTTCAATTTATGGCACATGAAGTGTAAACTTTTATATTTGCTTTGACCTTACATCTTTTTCTAGCTGAAGTGAGTGGAGAACCATTCTTTTCTGCCACGTTATTATCTGGTAGCAATAAATAGGCTAAATATTTATTATGGTTTAATAACCTTATAGATTTTATTAAGCTTCAAGGTGCTTTGACATTCTTTGGGGATTAGCTATTCTCTTCTAATAAATCTTGCTTATTCTTAGGAGATAAGGGTGGCATAACATAATCACAGTTGGCAAAGTGAATTATATCTGATGCTGGAGGGCATGCCAAGTGTCTTTCTTCAAATAATAGCGGGAGCAAAAAGTTGCCAATTGTGCTGGCATTTTTTGTTTAAGTTTGGCGAGCCACTGCTTTTTACCGAGATCTGTGTGCGTCTGAACGCAGGCTCACGTCCCTGACACGTGTTGGTGTTGGAAGGCGGGAAAGCAAAATAAATAAATAAAAGCGGCAGTTCCCGAATGCTTTCACACATACATGTATTTCCGAGCCTAAAAAGTGGAGGTGTTTCTTGGCACCTCTCTAAGTGTACAGTAGTGGTGCAACCAACCCATACAAACACAAACTTCCAACTCGTCCCGAGAGTTAGATCCCGGCCACTTCGGTCTTGGTGGGCGTCTCCTTGCTCTCAAGTGGGCGGACACCCCGCCAGCCACTCTCGGGGTCTGCGGGTGTCAGCGTCCGATCACAGTCGCGCAAAGGCTGCCCTCGCCCGAAGACGCGCCTTTGAAGGAGCAACCGAGCGCTGCTCCCGGTCCACGGACTCATGGCGACGAGCAACCCGCCGCTTCTGCCCCCGCCGGGGCTGTCCGTTTCGATGCCCAGAGCACCCCCAGCAGGGGCGGCGGTCCCTATGCCGCCCACCTTCCTTCGCCCTCCCAGCTTCTTCATGCGCGCCGCGGCCGCCGCAGCTGCCGCGGCCGCCGCAGCCGCCGCCTCGGCGGGAAATCCTTCCAGCTGCTACGCGCAGGCGGCGGTGGGGCTGGAGCGCGGCGTGTGTTACCCGCGCACGCCGAAGTGCGCCCGCTGCCGCAACCACGGCGTGGTGTCGGCGCTGAAGGGCCACAAGCGCTTCTGCCGCTGGCGGGACTGTGCGTGTGTGAAGTGCGCGCTCATCGCGGAGCGGCAGCGCGTGATGGCCGCCCAGGTGGCGCTGCGCAGGCAGCAAGCGCAGGAGGAGATCGACGCGCGGAGCGGAGGCGGGACTCACCCCAATCAGCAGCAGAAGCGGACGCCTGTTGCGGTCCGCCTGAGCCCGGAGAGGCAGGCTGCCGGCGGCGCCAGAGCTGAAAGCGAGCCGGCTCCCAAGAGTTACTGCCCGGAGTTCCAGCGCGGGCGAAGAGGTGGGATTCCCCTTGATATTTGGGGTTAATTTCAGTAAAAAGTGATGGGGCCACAAGAAAACCTCCTAACTCAATCAACCGTGGCTAATTCGAGCTAAGGATTTGCCAGGGTTTTAAGAAAGAGATGGGAAATTGATGGCGTTTCAGTCAATATAGTTCGCAAGTGCTCATTCATGTCTGAGTGATGAATAATCGAGGATTATTATAATTATAATTAAACAGCTCTTGGGGCAAAGGGGAACTACTGTTTTTTTCCTCCGACTTCTTAAGTTTTAGATTTCTTCACGGCAGAGATCAGAGGGAGATCACTGAGAATGGTGATGGTGTGCTTTGAGCATTTTGGGATAGGACTAATTGAATCACATTTTCTTTTTTGTTCTTAATAATCCTCAGGTCATGAGTGTGAGTTACTTTATAGATGAGTGTGCAGCTCAAATTCTTTTTAGATTATGAAGATTATTAATTACTTATTTATTTAGGATATAATTATAACTGGTAATAGTTTTGTTAGATTGTAAAGTAGAAATTTTCTGGGGGTTTCTTGATGACAAATAGCTGCAGAACTGGATGCCATCAATGTACTAATGGTATCCCACTTGAGTTTCAGGTGACCTCCATCAGCAGTTTCATGAGATTAGGATAGAATCTTGTGGGACACCAAATATAGTGGATGTTCTATGCTGAAAGAAAGAAGAAAGAAAAAGAAAGAAAGGAGAAAAAGGAGAACAGAAGGGAGGGAGGGAGGGAGGGAGGGGAAGGAAGGAAGGAAGGAAGGAAGGAAGGAAGGAAGGAAGGAAGGAAGGAAGGAAGGAAGGAAAAAGAATCACAGCTTAACATTGTATATTGTTGGAACTAAAAAGGAGCTGTAGATAGAATCTATTGATCTCTGTAAGATCCGTTCACCTAAATGAGTTTTGTTGGCATAATAATTTACAAAAGAAAGAATATGATCTCTCTTTTTAGGCTCAAAAGATGCTAAAAAGTCTGTTTTTAATAGCATTATAGCTCTTCTTCCATCTCAAACACATCTACGCTGATAAGTATTAGTGACACTTCCCAGAATGTGTTAAGATTGTGTCTTTTTCATCATGTTCCATAACATGGATTATTGAAGAACTAAAAGAGTTTCATTTTCTAATCATAGGTGTGGCAGGTTGGCCATTTGCTTATATTTTAAGGAAAATAATAATGCTTGGAAAAATAGACAGTGCTTCTAAAAATTATACAAAGGTATTATTAATGTTGCAAGCATTTGGCATTGCATGGATGCTACCAAACTAGAGTATGTTGCTTGTTCCAAGGCAAATGAACTAAATCTATGAGCTGTTCTTTGTATGGGCAATTGTAGTACATAAAGATACAAAACACCGAGAAATTGTCTTGGGAAAGCTCTGTTAAAAGGTAATGGGAATTACAGTTTTCTTTTACTGCTATCCTTAATTTAAATGATCTTCCTGAAGATCAGCTTGTGCTTGTAGGAAATCTGTGGCAGGAGGCAAAGAAACAAGTTGTTTGGGAAAAGCATGGCAGTGTTATTTTCTTCTTTATGGATGACAAAAAGCATATTATCCAAATACAATTAATCTGTTTTCATATACAGTCTGTGGGTTTTAAGCATTTAGGACCAACTTCACACATGAAGACTATCCTATGGGGATATTGCTTCCATTTTATGATTTCCATGTTGTACTGTTGCAATTTTGGAGTAACCCCTGCAGTCAGCATGGCAAGAGTTAGTACATTCCAATGACACTCTGACTCTGTGCTTAACCAAAAATTTTCATTTTGACTGAAGAAGTTAACTTGGATGAGTAACAAAATGTCTCAGTTTAATAAACTTTGGTCCAGTTGCCATGATTTATAACCTTCTTAGATATTTTTGGCCTGGATGATTGAGTCTTCATTTACATGTTGCAATGTTTCTACTTTGCAGTAAGTGCATATGTTCGTTTCACATTCTGCACAAGTGAAGAATCCTGCTTGAAAAATTCATAATAGGTACCCAGAAAAGAGGATATGTACATTATATGTCATGCATATAGTAATCTGTGACCTGGGCACTTAACAGTAACTTGGGTGTTTATGGGAAATTTGTTGTAGGTGAAGTAAAAGTAAGCATATCCTGTAGAATACTTCGAGAATGAAACCAACAATAGTGATGAGTGAGAGTTTTTCAATGGTGCTGAATTGTGTCTGTAGAATAATAAGAAATGTGATTCCATAACTAGCAATGCAGAGGCCTTAGGGGTGTTTATATGAGGAAGCAGTAGATAATCAGATATATTGTAATAACTTGAATATTTGGCTGCATTTTTCTCCCCCACTAGAAGAGAAGATTCAGAAGTACGGCTTTTACTGCAGTGAATCGGACAGTTCTGTCGTCCCTTTACTTATACCCTCTCTGACATCTTCTCCTGAAGCTGCTGGAAGCAATCAAGAGAAACCATCCGGGATGCAGGCTTTAAGCAAAGAGATATCTTTATCGGGTCCTGATGAATCTTTAGAAGGAACTGACAGCCCAGCCTCTCTGTCTTCTTCAGACATGGAATCAGGAAATGAAAGCGAGTGTACCAAGGATTTTGTTCCCTGTAATGCCAGCGTCCCTCCTCCTCCTCCTCCTCCTCCTCCTCCTCCTCCTCTTCCTCCTCCTCCTCCTCCTACTGATGGTGCCTTCAAGCGCAGAGACCCACTTAATATTCTTACAAAGGTCTTTCCCAGTCATAAACCAAGCAGGTTAGAAAGAGTTCTGCAGCTCTGCAGAGGAGACATAGTCCAAGCTATAGAGCAGATCCTGAATGCCAGCGAACACAGGCCAGGATTCAGAGAGCTTACAATTCCAGTCTTGCCCGAATGCAGTGCTTTCCAGAGATCTTCTGATTTTGGCCTCGGAGTAGATGTCGCAGCACTTGGCAATAAATCAGCATTTGCTCCTCTTCAAACCAGCTCGGCTTCTTCCAGAAGAGAGATGAATTTTTATGGCTTAAGCCCTAGACTGGGAATTGGACCTCTAACAGTGACTTATTCTTCTCCAGGAAGAACTTTGCCTGGATTGATGGCACCATACCTAAGGACTGGCTTGTTTCCCGCTTTTCCTTTTCATCCAGTGGTGGATTCTTCCTTTCCAGGAGTGATCAAAGATGCATCTTACTTACCCAGTGAAGACAGGCTTTTCAGTACCAAGATGCACACTAGGTTAAATGAAGAACGCAAATAGAATTTTGATCAAAACATACTTTTTCTTATTCCAATTCGTTCAGTTGGGCTGATAACTCGTTGTGGAGCCCGATTCTTAAATGTACATCCAATAAAGAGCAAATTAATATTAAATCCTTCATTATAAAAAAACATAGGCTGCCACAGGATTCTTTCCCAAAAAAATCAGTTGAACTTGGACATAAAATAGTTTGAAAATGGAGAGATTTCTGGAGTGTCAACAGTGAAAAATTATTAGAAGCAAAATTGCTATGGAACATTATATGAATCTTTGGAAGAGAAAAAAGGTGACACTTGGAAACTGGAAATTGAAAATCCAAGAGTAATGTGAAAAACTCCAGAAAATCAAAGCTGTGGAATTGTCTTTTACATTTTCAAAATATTTGATACATTTCCTTTTTTGACTTGAAATGTAGTTGTTTGAAATCAAGAAATAATTTTCCAAATATAGACTCTTGATTTTTTTTAATGAAACGGTTCTTGAAATAGGTAGTACATGTCTCTGATCAATTGTTGTAACAAAATTGGTAAAGGATTTTGGATATAAGCAGTCTGTTTAGATTGAAGGTATTATGCCATAATTGTGTTTGCATATGGATAGAAGACTTGAAGGAATTGCCTGGTTAAAAAATAATTCTGAATTATGCTTTAGAATAATGTGATTGAGATTCAAGCTCATGTACTTTTCTCTTAACATATATGAATAATAACGAAGACTGGAAAATCTTTTTTTTTTGCTTTACTATTTTACATTACTGGCAACTGCAGTTGTACTGTGGCTGGGTCCACGCATTATACTAAGTCATAGTTTGTTCAAACCATGATTTTTAATAGCCTGTAATCTCCAGGTCCACACAATGTCACCACAATATAAAAAATAAGTTGAGACTCTGGAAAGAGTGCAGAGAAGAGCAACAAAGATGATTAGGGGGCTAGAGGCTAAAACGTACAAAGAACAATTGCAGGAATTGGGTATGTCTGGTCTAGTGAAAACAAGGTGTATGGGATTTCAGAATAGCCATGTTCCAATATTTGAGGGGCTGCCCCAAAGAAGAGGGGGTCAAACTATTTTCCAAAGCACCAAAAGGCAAGCTGAGAAACAATGGATGGAAATTAACCAAGGAGAGAAGCAGCCTAGAACCAAGGAGAAATTTCGTAATGGTGAGAACAATCAACTAATGGAACGGCATCACCGGAGGCTTTCAAGAAGAGATCGGACAGCCATTTGTCTGAAATGGTACCAGGATCTCCTGCTTGAGCAGTGGGTTGGACTAGATGACCTCCAAGGTCCCTTCCAATTCTGTTATTCTATGTGCTAAATCAAAATGGCTTCGTGCAACATGTGAATCTAGTCCAGGGTTTGTTTGCGCTAAACAGTGGCTTATTTAATAATGATTTATCAAATAACCCACAAATTTATTTGCAATAAGCTTTAACCTAAGACTGTGACAACCAACTTGCCAGCCATGTGGGGCTTGTAGCACCCACTGTGCAAACTATTGCTCTACCAAAAATATGGTCAAAATATGATGAGATTTCAATGGTCTAGTCTTTCTGGGTGAGAGGACCTCAAGATTAAGAGTGGGCTTAGAAAACATTCTGCTCACATTCCCACTCATAACCTCCCCTGTAACTGTCCCCTCCTAATGTTGCAAACAGACCAAATTTAACTTGTTTTGGGAGAGTAGGGTTAAGAGTGGAAATAAGAACACGAGGTATCTGGAAAGCAAATTGCTCATATCTTGAAATTCCCAAGCAGTCATACCAAGCCAAACCAAACAAACCACACATTATGCTGTAACAGGGTATGTGAATACAGCCTGTTACACCATACAGTACGTGTAATACTGTGTGTTACATGACAGAAAACAATGTCAGAAACCATAATTTGGAGGGTTTTCTTTTTAGATTAGACATTTTGTTTGTGGAAGGAGAAAAGAAAAACAGATGACACTCTCAAAAATCATTTCTGGAATATGAAGCCTTCATTTCCGGCTTACCAGCATGTTGGCTGCTGGTTCTGTGTGATCTGTAGGCACATGATGGACTTCTGATTCTGAAGCTAGAACTGGCCACATGGATGCAAATCAAGGGATGATAGATGTTTTGGGAGAATAAATGGGTTCCATGTGTAATAAGTAGGTGGATTAGTAAAATAATGAATTAACCAGTAGGAAGATGATAGCTGTTCTGTAGATTTATGGGCCTTTACAGTCTTCCACTTCAAATTTCCACACTATAAATGGGTTAAAAGCAAGCTTTTTTAAAAAGCACAGAATGATTAAGTAAAACAATAACTGCAGTCTACCTAACAAAACTGCTACTTTTTGCATTTATAGACAGGTTTTATTAGCGTTGAAGATTTGTCTGTCTTCAGTACCCCAAACAATGTTCTGTTAATGCCCAAAGAAACCCCTTGTTTATATTACCTGAGGCTGAGTAAACTTCTTAAGAGTTGGGGGGGGGGTTGGGGCGGTTCATCTAGAAAGCTTTTGTTGTTAATTTGGGCTTGTGGCCCAGCCCTAGATAATAAATAATAAAATTATTAAAATTTTATTATTTTATTTAAAATAAAATAATAAAATCTTTAAGAAATCTGTGGATGGGTCTTAACTGTCCTTGCTCCTTCACTAGCTAGCTCAACGTTAATTTTGTCAACTTTTATTTCTAGTGCTCTGTAGATTTCTTCAATGGAATTAAGGTTCCAAAGTTAGTCATCCCCATCTTGTGGCTGCTTGTGATCATTACAGGTTTAACAGACATTCCCCCCCCCCATTTATTTTAGCCGTGTGTAATCAAACTACGGTATTAAGAGCTAGATTTTGCATTCACTGAAATGATAAACAATGATGGATTGCTCAGCCCAGCCCGTAAGCAAGCATTTTATTCTCCAAGAAGGTATGTGGATTTTTTTTTTTACTTCAGTTAAATTTTATCTGAAAAGAATTGGAAAGAGTGCAGGACACCTCCAGTAAAAAATTACAAACTTGACCTCTGGATTCCACTGTAGCCCAAAGTTTAATGTACTTTTTGTTAATGCTTAAGAAAATAATTTGGACTCCTGTCTGTGTACACTCATTAATGTCATTCAATTCCATGCCAATAAGAGCAATTGATGCATGCAGGCTATGAATGATCTCAAAATAACCCATGACTCTGAATATCATTTAACTGGAAGGAGAAAAGTTGAGTGTCTGTTAATAAAAGGCACACACATGATCTTAAGAGCTACCCCAACTTTCTATTCTGGATTGAACTGGAAAATAAAATTCTCATTTCTGATTTCTTTGGTTTCTAACCTACGGAGGAAGCAATAAACAAAGATCTTCTGGAACAGCAGCACAGTCTCCCTGCTCACTCCTTTCTTGCTTCTCATACTGTATATTGTGTCAACTACTGAAAGCCTATCTTGGCAGAGATAAGGCACGGATTTCACTAAGCACTAGCTGAACTGTCTCAAAACTGAATCCAGAGTCTTGCCTGGTAGGTTTTGTTTTTGATTTTTTTACATCAGAAAACAGAAGCTCCTCCCCCCCTCCTCTTTCTAAGGGGAATGCACAGCCAGCTCTCAAATTAGGAGTCATTGTAGCCCTCCTGGCCAAAGGAAGGAACAATGACATCCAAATAACTCCTGCCAGCCTTGCATATTCCTTAATTCTGCACTGCCTGCTTTACAGTCACATTTTTCCTGGAGGTGTGAAGGCCTCATCAAAGCCAGGCAAGCTGTCAGATAGCTTATTTCTGCCAACATCTTCCCTAATGAGAGAGAGAAAAAAAATTGATGCGTGCAATTGCTCTTTTTAAGATCTGGAGCTGGGGCTTCTCAATCGAACCATAACTTAAAAGTCTCTATAAAGTCCTGTGGATGATCTTCACTTTTATAGTGGTTTGAATGTACCCATTGTGCTTGATTTGCTTAGCAAGTTTCTTTCCTAAATAGGCCAGCACTGCAGTAGGACAATTTCCTCTGGGAACACAAGAAAGGGAACACTGATGGGAGACCTCACAAGAACTTATGTGGTGTAGTATTGAGACCTATGTTCTCTTTGATCCTCAGTTATGGAGGTTCACCAGCTGATTTTGGGCGGGTCACACTGTCTTTTTTTTAGGGAACAGATTTTATTGGTTTTTATAGAGTTAGGGATAAGGGGTCTGGATTAGGGTCGGGACTTGGGTTAGGGTTGGGGTTGGGGTTTTTCCAAATAACATTTTCAATATTTAGCAAACAGCTAAATGTATTTAACTAACAATAATAGATAGTTAATTATCATACACAATATGTTAATTCACACTGTCTTAACGGTGGCACAGTGGCTCAGTGGCTGAGATGCTGGGCTTGGCGGCTGGAAAGCCAAGAGCACAGATTCAAGACCCGAGCCCCATGCAATGGAGTGAGCTCCCATCCTCGGCCCAGCTCCTGCCAACTTAGCAGTTTGAAAGCATGCAAATGCAAGTAGATAAATAGGTACTGCTTCGGTGGGAAGGTAACAACACTCCATGATGTCATGCTGGCCACATGACCACAGAAATGTCTTTGGACAACACTGGCTCAATGGCCTTGAAACAGAGATGAGCATCACCCCCTGTAGTCAGCAACTACTAGCAGAGTAAAATCTTTACGTTTATACTCTCTTAACAACTTATAGAGTGTTTTGGTGTGTGCTACCTTACGTTCCTGAGCAAAAGTCTGGATAGAAATCTAACACACTTCAGCTAGGCTGTATTTATTCTGAGGAAATACAGAATACTGGTAAAAACAGATGTCATAAAAGGCCTTCAGTAAATAGTAGCATTATGACCTGCTAGAGCAGGGGTGTCAAACTTGCAACATCATGTGATGTGTCATGACGTTTGGCAATGGGGTGGGTGCGGTTTCGGCATGACGCATCCGGCCCCTGTGCTAGAGCTTCATCCAGATTGATGATTGCTCTATATATTTAGAAGATGAGATGATTTTGCAGCAGGAACATTGGCATAGTAAATCCACAGGTAACATGGCCGCCTTTGAATAGCTGAGATCTTGTAGCAAGAAAACGATTCATTTTTTTTTATCTATCACATTATAAATAAGACCCAGTAATGAGCTAACCAGGTAGGAGATACTTATGTGGTCCAGATTTTTCTTTTCTTTTTTTGAAACCACACATTTTCACTTTCTTTTGTGACCGTTGCTTGTTAACTATGCCAGTAATCTCTTGGTTTCAGTTAGAATCTTTTCTAATCCTTCTACTGTGGTTTTGGGCAACTCCCAAACATTATTTAAACTTTTGAATCTTATTATTTTCTCTCCCAGGCTCGAATTTCTCCCCTATTTCCCTTTTCTGTTTTAGAATTGGCAGTCTCTCCCTCGGATATGTTTATGGATAGTTGGCTCATCAAAAGCTACTGCCAATACACTTCTTTTTGTATATTATAGTTTTGGTAATAAAACTGACAAATAATCAAATCCAAGTACTCCAGTAGATTGACAGCATGTTATATAAGAACATATTTCCTTGGGATAATGAATAGCACCCAGATTCAGCAAAACTGGTTGTCAACTAAATATGAAAATAGTTCAAGCCATGTTCTTTGGGGTGGCAACATATTGCTCTGAAAATGCTGAACGAAAAATGCAAAAAGCAAAGAGGCCTTTAAATTATGGATTTGGAAATAATACTGGCAATAGCGCAAGACTCCGGTAAGAACCAAGTCGGTCATCCCTACCAG